ATGCGATTATCATGAATCAAAATGCGGCAAAAAAACGTATTTTCCGAAGAGATAAAAAAAGCTGCAAGATCTTTGAGTATCCTTGTTGTCGTGTTTTTTATTTGCTGGTGCCCATCCATTATGACATTAATGCCTTGGTCACATATGCTCCGATTTTCACTCCGGCGCCCGGCCGATTGAGTATTTTGTTCAAAATTGAATACAATATTGAACAAAACACTCAATCGGGCGGGCGCCGGCCGATGGATCGGAGCATATGTGACCCAGGCATTACAGAGTCTGTCAGGCCGGACACTATTGATAAAGACTTATATTTCTCTGACTACTCCAGGGTTTGTGGCGATGTAGAATTCAAATGTCAATAAATTCGGAAATGTAAAAAAAAGCATTTTTCTATAGCCATTTTGTAGGAAAAATGATGAAAAAATGTATAATCTTTTAATTTGAATGACCTGAATCGATTGCAAATTTTATATCTGCACATTTGATTTGATATACCATTTGTGTCATATTGTGAAATTATTTAATTTGCAATCGATTCAGGTCATAGTGTATTTTTTAAATTGGCCATTGCAAATTGCAAAATCAGATCGTCAAATTAATCGCTTCGTTTTTAAACCTACGCTTCATATCTTCTTCCAAAACTTTAGGATTCGATAGAGATAAGTTATAACTTGTACAGGAAAAAATGGCAGATCCTACCTTAATTTAGAATCGCTGATTTCTCTGGACAAATTCCGAGAAGAAATTGTTCAACATCGCGATCACCTCAGACAACATGTCGCGTGCGTGTCACTCTGAACTCACGTGATAAAATACGGCATCTTGATTAGTTACTACTCGTGTTGTCATGACGCGAAAAGCAGTAGTAAACACTGAATATGTTAATGAATTGCCATATATGGAACAATTGTCTTTCTGATTGGTTAACTTTACACGCGTCCTAAATGAATATAGTAGTCGTAGTAAATGATTCATTGATAACTCTGAAAGTGGGCGTGACCAGCTTCATTTTGACACCAAATTCAAGATGTTTCAAATCAAAATGGCCTCGCAAGACGAGGTTGAAATATCAGCAATTTGATACTGATATGGTCTACGATAGATCAAAATTGCCTGCCCCACGTCACATGTCACGTGAGCCTATATTTGTTGAAAAATGAAAGAGATAGTGACACTTTTTAATCTTAAGTTTATACCAATATTACAAACACATATTTATTTTTTTCATTATATATTTATTTCTTCATTATACATACTACATGTTTTATACTACATTGATTTATTTTTGCAAAACCTTTGCTATTAGATCTTTAAATATTTTCCAAAGTATTATGTGACATTGTATTCTTCGTGTTACACCTAAACAAGATTCATTTTGTTCATGGGGAGATCATAATGGAGAATGCTCTAGATCCTTTCTTTTGTATCACTTTTTTGCTCATATCAAGGGCAGACGTAAAACAAAGAAAATGCCTAAAGTCTACCTCGTTCGCAAATCAAATGTAATGATAAGGCAATCGAAGGCCCTACGGTAGTTGTCATTTCATTTAGTATATACATGTTGTACTTTAAGCCCAGGGTATCAAATTGACCCTGCCTTACTTTCTGCGAAAGCTATGTGGATTTTGATATAATAGCTTTCCCTAGGAGCACTTGGGGCAGCTGAATAATAGTGACCCTTGAAACACGAATTAAGTCGATCAGCGGCTTACTTTTGGTCTCTAACTGTGTCTTCAATCAGTATCATCAATCCGTGCAAGTATTTGAGCGCAGAAATACTTCTTTTTTCGATCAAGACTTGTAAATTGTTCATCGAGTGAATGTTTTTTCGAACCAATTCCAATATGGCGGTTTGCTAGGAGCGAGATACGCAACTAACGAAATGAATTTTGAGAATGAGTTAGGTTCGGACAACCTCCGGAGATTTACGAAAATGTCCGAGCAGAAAACGCCATATTGGAATTTGGCAGAAAAAAACATTCACTCGACTAACAATTACAAGTCTTGATCGAAAAGGAAGTACTTCAGCGCTCCAATACTTGCACGGAAGGATGATAATGATGTATGACATAGTTAGAGAACAAAAGTAAGCCGCTGGTCGACGCTGATCGACTTAATTCGTGTTTTAAAGGTCACTATTATTCAGCCAGTGTCCATTTCCCCGTTCGAGAGCCATACGTTTCAAAATCTAACATGGCTCTCGAAGTGAGTAAGCCCTGCCTATTTATATTGTACGGAATGAACAAACAATCACATTTGAAGTTGTCATTTACCCATTCAAACGTATTCTTATTTCCAATTAAGGATTGGGGTCTACCAATATAACAAGCAAGATTGTCTGTATCAAAATATGGGCTCCCGCCTCCCGGGCCATAGAACATAGCAAAAATCAATCACGTTATGAGCGACGTGTAATCACTCATCTACTCTACCGAGCTGACAGAAGTCATTTGAGCCAGCTGTGCGCAGGAGCACCTACACGTAGAAACCATGTAACTTTCACGCTTACCTGTAGAAAATAGACTAATCTGACGTCATTTTCCTGCGCGCGCATAGAAGTACACGTTCATGCTTTGTTGAATACGCGTCTGTAAATTGCACGAATATGTTAATCTCATGTAAAAACCTGTAAACTTCACGCTGGCCCACAGGAAATAAACAAATCTGACGTAATTTGTCTGCGCGCGCATTGAAGTTCACTTTCAAGTTTTGTTAATACGACGTATAGCTTAACCTCTCTATTTTCTAAATAGGCCTACAGATACGTATAACGAAAATTATTTAAGTGATAGTCACATTTGCTACGGCTACCGTTCAGTTCTTCTCAATGCTTTTGGGATGATATAGAGAACAAGGGATAGGACAAAATAAAGGACCATGCGACATATGTAAATGGAAAGTTTCAAATGTTTCGTTCGGCGCAACGCAAAAAAACGGGCTAAGAGCTTGTAAAACGTTTTAGCGCTAAGACGTCTTGGTTATGACTAGGGTCCTAAAACGTTTTAGCTAAGCGCTCTTTAGCCGAGAGCTCATGAGTAAATCTGGATTTACATTACATTTGTAAAACGTTTTAACGCTAAAACGTTTTAGCTAAGACGTCTTAGCGCGCTAGTGTAAATCCAACAATTATAACGTAACTACATTATCTTTATTTCAGCTTTCAGGTTCCGACATTCTGTCACTTAAACGGATCTGTTTCGGTAACACGATTCGACGCCATTTCATTCAGCTGAAATTTTCGAATATCACAAAACGGTTTTTTAACCTAAAAAAATAACAAAAGGTTTTCCCAGTCATTGAGGGTGGTAAGCAATCTCACACTCGACGTTTGTCGCAATGACGTAGCCTGAGGAGCATTGCGTCCACACAAGAGTTCCGACTCCCTCTCTGGTACTAAGCTCCGGAACAGATCATATGCGTGAGTAAGGGAGGAATGAGTCGAATTCCTAATCTCTGATCCCTGCCAAGAGCGGGCAGTTCACATCCGTGACTCGCTAGGCCCCGGAAAAGACTCAAACCACAAGGTACTATAGACCTTTCCACACATAATCGCGCCCGTCCCTCCTTAGTTTCGATCCACTGACCCCCCGGTTTATGGACCTACTACGATGCCACCCGGCCAACTCGTTCTAAGTGTCAGTTCCGGTCAAAGATTTCGTATATATCTAAGCGATCCATATGCAGTGTTAAAGAAAAAAAAGTACCAATTTCAAGGGTCGAACCCAAACCGGTAAGACAGATGACAGCGCTCTAACCAACTGAGCTATAGAGTCAAAGTTAATGACCCCACCAAAAGTAAGAGTAAGTCTAATCCGCCAAATGGCCAATATTCTTTACGATGCGCTTATTTTAGTTAAGGATACGAAAATTAGGAGCTCTGGGAAATATTTGGGTTTACTACACTTTAATAACGCAACATGTTTGCTACAAATTAGGTTCATGTATTTTTGTGAAATATGTTTATAAATGAATCCAATAGTTTGAATCAAAGTACTTGCTTTGCGGTTTAGTAAACACAAGGAAAGACGGGGACTTGAAAAAGACTAAATACAAAATAATGCAACTAATTGGATTTCTTTTTCCAGAATAATATACTAGTCTACAAAAATTAATAATTACTAGTTATTGATTAAAATGCCTAAAATTAGCCACACGGTCGCGGCGTAGCCAGCTTTCAGTCGGTGAGGGGTGGTGCGAATTTTACAAAAATTGATGCAACTTCATTCAAAATTGAGCTAGAAGCTTCAAATAAAAAGCATTTTAAAGCTCTTTTCTTTTCTTTATTGAACCACAATAAACCCCATTATGGATTTTGTTGTGAATTTCAGTTGCAATTGAAATTAGACTGAGTGAATATTTCAGTGGTGCCTAAACTGATCCTGATGTCAATATTAACTCTAGTATGGACCCAGGCCGAACCCTGCGAACTCCCTCCTGGCTACGGGCCTGGCACCCTTCGTTTCTCCTTAATAAACAAAGAAGAATTTTAAATTGTACACCGCTGCTTTCCAGGTTGATAATTACAATATCGTACCATTTTATGGTATGTTATGTTATGGTATGATATGATATGGTATGATATAAATATATACACCTTTTTGCATTAACAATAAAATAATTGTTCTAATCTTGATTTTTATAATTTCATCTTATTCTCTGACCCTGAAAACCTGGGTTGAGACACCGATATTATGATGTTTCTGAGCTTAGTATTCAAAATATTGAAGATAGTCACTATTTCGATAATGGCCACCTTCATTTGCATATATATTTTTTCCCCAAAGTTGATTTTTGTGCAACCCAGCTGAATCACTTCATAAATCTCTAATAATAGTGATTACACAATAAAACATCATACTTTTACATATTTCCTGAGACTAACATAGACTAACATTTTATGTTAGTCTCAGATATTTCTACGTTCAGAAAATGACAAATGGACTAATACAATTTTATCAGAGTTTAAAAATCTATATTTATTAAGCAAAAGTAACATCCTGAAATCAATAAAATGCTAAAATATAAATGTTCCAATGACCGGGTGGTGATCTGAGAGATGGAGTATCCTCCTAGTAGAAGCACAATCAGCAGCGTATGGATATCTATACCCTACAAATGGTGCACAATCATGGCACCAACATACAGGAAACACACTCGGAGCCGTTGCTAGGAAACATACAAGTTGTGAACTTACAGGGGCCAGATGTTCAGAACTGTATACTACGTAATCTAACCATTGTCTACTACCTCCAGTTGTGTTCAAAAGATCGTTGTTATCAGGATCAAACGTGTAGATTTCAGAATTAGTTGGAATAGCCGGGACGTTCGCATTAAGAGCATACAGGAGTGGTTCACTGATGTTTGGGTTGTAGTAATTGACATTAAAATCTCCAGCATACAGAACGGGTTCTAGAACAGGGATCGACTTCGATTTCTGGAGATTGTAAACAGCTCTTGCTTGGTCTACTCGCACTTGGTTGGAGCCAGATGATGCGGTATGTGTTCCAAATATGTGGTACATCTTTGATGTCCCATTTACTGTTTTATTAACCTTTGAATAGCCTGCACCCAAAGCGGTGAAATGATGAGTCGTCCCGGGTGGTGAGTTGTCAAATATAACCTGGTCTTGTTCAAGAATTGGCCACCTTGATGCAATGAACACTCCGCCGTTTTCAAATTTAGTAAAGTCATTCGGAGCATCAATAGTGTCTGTTATATATGGAAATCCGTAAAATTTCAACAAATCTCTCAAGTCTAAACCCCGGGGCCAGCAGCCTCCCATGAACGCTTCTTCCATAACGATGATATCAAGATCGGGGAATCGTGTCAATAAAAATCTCGGAATTCTACAGCTCCTTTCCCGTTGCCCATCGTGACTCGCTAGACTATCCCTCTCCCAAATATTATACGAAACAATATTCATAGTATTTGCTGGAGTTGGGTCATTTAAAGGAGGCGCGGGTTTTGCGAGACATCGCACTTTAGTACCGTTTGTGCACCAGGTTGAGCCATTATCCCCACGCGGATGAGACGTGTCAAAATCTAGGTCGAAGATCGCACATTTGTCTTGAGTTCCATCGCAATTCGGGGCATTTCCTGAAAAAATTAACATGACTGTCTTATTGATTTTTTTGCCTCACATATCAACAATTTGCCTCACCTATCAACAATTTGCCTCACCTTTTTTCAGACCCTGCATTCACTCTTGAAAAATAATCTCTATACATACCTATCCAAATATGGGGGACATCGACTGGCGCAGGATCACTGAAGCACGTGTTTAATAGAGGATGACAGGAAGCGCCAGAGACACAAGGACATTCCTCTCCTTCACCCCCTTGTCCCAGCGTCAATCCCCAGAGACATGCAACCAATAACACGTAAAGGAGTTTTAACATATTCTATCTATCAGTACAATACATTAAGAAAACAGGTTGAAATATTAATTAAAGTCAATTGGTGCTCTTATTAATTAAGATTGGTATTGACCTTTACCGTAGCACTGGCGGATCAAGAAACTAACAAGCAAATTTTGAGTGAGGAAAAATGTTCCTAACTCAAAAAATGTTCCTTACTCAAATTTTGTGCCCCTAAAACCAAAAGTTGGGTCCAAATTTGAAATATTTAAGGCCCAATTTTGTTGATACGGCCCAAAAGGCCAATTTATTACCTAATGGCCCATTTTCAAGGCCCTAAATTTTTATTCTGGGCCCGAAAGGGGGGGGGGGTGAGAGGCGGCCCCCTGGATCCGCCAGAGCCGTACGACCCAATACTAAGACCTGTTAAAGTGAACACCTACCAGACTTGCCAACCTAAAATGAAAATTTTTCGGGAGATTTAAAAAAAATTGCGGTACTTTTACGGGAGTTTTTTTACAAATCCGATAGTTTTTGCGGGAGTTTGTTGAAAAAAAGCGGGAGTTTTTACGGGAGATTTTTCAACAAACGGTAGTTTTTATGGGAGATTTAAAAAAACGGGAGTTTTTGCGGTAAATTTTGAAAAAAAACGGGAGTTTTTACGGGAGATTTTGAAAAAAACGGGAGTTTTTACGGGAGATTTTTGAAAAAAGGTATTTTTCCGCGCTAAATTAAAAAAAACGAGACTTTTTTACGGAAGATTTCAGAAAAAACGGTAGTTTTTGCGGTAGGTTCTGAAAAAACGGGAGTTTTTACGGTAGGCTTTGAAAAAACGGGGGTTTTTGCGGTAGATTTAAAAAAAAAACGGGAGTTTTTACGGTAGATTTCTGAAAAAAAACGGGAGTTTTTACGGTCGATTTCTGAAAAACGGGAGTTTTTACGGTAGATTCTGAAAAAACGGGAGTTTTTACGGTAGATTTCGGAAAAAACGGGAGTTTTACGGTAGATTTCTGAAAAAACTGGAGTTTTTACGGTAGATTTTGAAAAAAACGGGAGTTTTTAAGGCAGATTTTTGAAAAAAACGGTAGTTTTTACTTTAGATTTTGAAAAAACGGGAGTTTTTACGGTAGATTTTGAAAGAACGGGAGTTTTTACTGTAGATTTCGGAAAAAACGGGACTTTTCTTACGGTAGGTTTCTGAAAAAACGGGTGTTTTTACGGTAGATTTTGAAAAAACGTGAGTTTTTACGGTAGATATCTGAAAAAACGGGAGTTTTTACGGTAAAAAACGGGAGTTTACTTTACTTTTATAATCTGCGTGAGGTTCCATTTTTAGGTTCGGTTTTTCGCGCATGAGCATTAAATCCAGTGACTTAATTGGTTGATATTATTATGACGCATGCGCAGTTAATAAATTAATTAGAACTTATAATCTAAGATAGATGTCACTTACGTTCATTATTTCACAGTAGTCCCTACCCATAATGCGCCTTATATTGCGGGAATATTTTGTTTAGCGCCATATAAAAACAAAATCTATTCTCCCGACAGAAGTATGACAGAATATGAACTGGCCCCCGTTTGTGGACATTTGGTGTGCAAACTTATACCGAACTGATCGCAGAAAAGCAATTTGAATCATGGGAATGAAGTACTTTTAAGTTATTTATGAAAGTATCGATAGTGAACCATGGGAGCCAATCCTTCTTGGAGTAAAAGAAAGAAGCGTGCCTGCAATAATCAAGGTCACAAATTTGTCAAATTCCTTTTAAATACGGTAGATTTCGACAGCAAAAAACGGAGAGTTTACGGGAGTTATACCAAGAATACGGGAGATTTTACGGGAGTTATACCAGAAAACGGGAGATTTTACGGGAGTTATACCAAGAATACGGGAGATTTTACGGGAGTTATACCAGAATACGGGAGATTTTACGGGAGATTTCAGCAAAAATACGGGAGATTTTATGGCCATATTTTTAAAAAAATTACGGGAGATTTTAGTAGAAATACGGTACGGGAGTTTACGGTAGTTTTTACGGGAGAAAACGGTACGGGAGTTTGGTATTTTTTACGGAAAAACAAAAAAAAAACGGGAGGTTGGCAAGTCTGCCTACACCTATTGAGCGCTGACACTTTTTACGGGCCCGTTTCATATTGTTCACATTAAACTTATTTCTAATACAAAGTTGTACTAAAACCCCAAATACCACCAGTCTGGCGCACAGCTTCTAGAATTAAAAGATTGAGAATGAGCTAGCATTCAAATTGACGAAATCAACAGCATAGGGCAGTCTGATTGGACTAGGCTAAATTGTTTGTTAAAAGAGTGTAGTTGAGGATCTTTCCAGAAACCAAACGCTTGAAAAGGGTTAACAATAGTGAGTTCAAGTTCATTTTAAGTGGAAAAGAATGTTATTTCACACGGTCATGAAGACTGAAACTATTTCAAATGTCTAGATTTTATTTTATAAAATGTCAAATCTTATCAACGTTTTCGATTTACATAAACCCGAAGTAACAACGCTGAATAACTCATGTTTCAGCCAGACCTTCAATTTCAATAATGGGGAGTTTAAGCTTGCATATAAAATAGAAACGCAAACCTTTACGGATAATCAATCACCCACACAAATGTATCGCTAAATATTTTAGGTTTCGTTTAGGTTGTGAAAAGCAAGCTTAATTCCTTAAAATCCACCTATCACGCCTAACCAACGACAACGTTCAGTGACAAAATATACGGATATACATTTAATATTACAGTCCCATATTAAGATTTGAAGCAAATACTGTGATGTACGTAGGTTTAAAAAATTATCTTAAGAATACGATGAAGTATTTCACGTTTGATTTCAAGTACGTGGTCTGGGCAAGACTTTTAGCTTTCTAATACTTAAAATGAAAATGGATATGTCAATATAACCAACATTCTCCAATCGGCCAATTATGTGGGTGGAATTACCTAGAAAAAGCAAGAGTATTGCTCGAGAATCTGTTAACGAAATAAGACAGTCAAAAGTCTTGCCAAGAGCATGCGCATGCAATGATTAAGCAAGAAATACTTCATCATATCCTTAAATTTTTTTTAAATCAAAGTTTTTGATTCAAATCGTTAATATATGATAACGTACAGCAGAAGTGTACACCCGTATATTTTGTTACTGTACGTTGTCGATGGCTAGGCGTCGTGCCTATGAACATCCTTACTGATGTGTGCGAGACCGTTGCCTGGTTACCAATTACATATAATATCACCAATGGCGAACATGGGAGGGGATCAAATTTGTATGTGCCTCCTTATGGCAGGATCTCACTTTCAAAAAGGCATTTTACTTTCATCCTTGCTATTTATTTTTAAAGGTGCAACAATTAGTGCAGAGGGGCCATTCAACGATCATGGACCAATGGCAAAATATGTTTAAATTTTGATATTTCATTAAGACTAACATGTTTAAGTTTGGATATTTCATCAAGACTAACATATATTTTTATTATTTCCAAAGAAAGCCCCTGAAAGAATACTATTTCAGCTGATATACGTGGTGGATCTTGAAAAGCTACAGTATAAGTGGAACTCCCTTTATAGAAGCTTTGAACTGAATTTATACTTCTTAATGCTGAAATTGATAATTTATCCATACATTTTGAGAAAATAGGTATGTCAAAGAAGATGTTTAGCTAAATGTTGCCCTGATAGCTCAGAAAAAGTAAAAAATTTCAAATTTTCTCTCTACAGTCCTTGTTGCCCCTTTAAATATATATCACTTGCCTTAGGCCCCATGGAAATATGTTTTTATCAACCATTTACTATTTTTCATGACTGTATTTAAAATGCTTTTGAATATTTTCGTTTTGGAGAAAAGTTGTCAGCTTTTTATTTCTCAAATATTCAAATTTCCTGCCATTTTTCAAAAAGTTTTTAATCATCAAACATTCCACTATACAACTGCATAATATATTAGGCGTTTCTTTTTAACTTCATACAAAAACTGAACAAAGGATATAAATGGGTAAGACTACGATACATGTATAAAATCCAAAGAGGTTTATACTTTATATGGGGCCTTTAATATAGACTTTTGAATTTTTGAATGTATGATCCCTTATTGAAACCTCCCTAAGTCACCCATTTCCTGCATAACAAGGATTATGAAAATGACTTTTTCATCTCCCCTTGTCAATTTTTATGCACTCTTCTGATCACATTCAAAAACTGACAAAACATATTGAATAATTTTAACAGTATCATGATAATTATTTACATTTTATTATACATACAGAATACAGACTGCGGTGAACAATACATGTTCAAGCATTTGTTTCCTTATTGATTTGTTTACATGACAGCTTTGAAAATCAGTTTGTTAAAATAGCAACATTTACTATTGCATATAGTTTTGATACACAAACGAGATGTATCCAAAGTCCTAAGAATTACAAGATTTTAACAAGGCAGAATGTCACCACCTGCCATTTGTCACCACCAAAACCAATTGCTGCCACAAAAAAGGTGCAGACTGTCACCACTTCTGATGGTAAATTTCACTTAGGTTTTTCTAATCTACCAAAGCCTTGGTTTAAATGCAAAGGAAAATCTAATTAGCTGAGATTCTAAAAAATTAAAACTCTGTTACACCAACTGAATAAAATTTTGAATTATTTAAAGAAACGATCAGAGTACTTAGTCATGGTATTATAGCCAATAGTCATGTAATAATAGTCATGATCACTGGTTGATCTGGGGAGAAGGCTGGTGACCCCCCTCCAAATAAAATTTCGGGCTTTCTTGTTGTTTTTTTAACTTAAAAACTTGTATTTGCATTTTCTGAAAATGCCTCATATTTCTCAAAAGGCCACCTTAATTTTCAAAAAGGCATTCACATTTCTTAAACACGTTAAATGCCCCCCCCCCCTTGATACTATACATGTTTCCAGATCTAACCCTGATATCATATCATAATATCTAAGAATCTGCTATCTACTTTGGCTAAATATACAGAGAAATTGGACTTACATTTTGTCATACATATAAAAATATATACATTTTTGTTAATATTGCCTAACTGCATATTCTAGAGATACAATGCATGGTTTTGTATTTGTCAAAAGTGAAGGCAAAACCTGTGATCAGCAGTTCAAATGAGCTATATACTTTCCTAACTGACTTGCACTTAAAACAAATATAGTACTATGCCTATGTTTGATTAAAAATGTAAAATATATCACCAAGTTTTTATAGACTGAAGAGAGTTTCAAAAATTTTTGCTTCTTTCATTTCGAAAAATTGCATATTGCTTTTTCAGTGAGGCAAAATTTGGTTATTTAGGGAGCCAAAATAGGTGAGGTAAATTTCAAGCAAAGCACCTCACCTCAGGTTGAAAGCCTAATGAGCACCCTGATGTGACATAATGTCACTACAATGTCACAACATAAACATTAACATAAAAACTTATTCATGAGTCGAGTCCCTGGACCCTACAGAGTCTAAATCCCCTTCAGGTGGGGGGGGGGGGGTTAGTCACAAGGGCTTGTGGCAAGACTATATGTACATATAGAAAGCATTAACATGAAGAATGTCACCACCTGCCATTTGCTGCAGATGCTGCAAGAGTTTGTTACGAATGCCAAAGTGGTGACGTAAAAACTATTCATTCACACTACTATACCTAACACCTAGAAATGCATAAGATACTTTGTTTGTCTAATTGGATTGTTTAGTATATTCTTGAAAGTACCTTATCAACATCAAACTTTAAACCGATAAATCATTAATAAGGAACAGACAAATAAAAACAAATATATAATCATTACTAATAAGCCAAATTCGTTGCTCATGAAAGCCAAATGCAAGGTATAGTAAAGTGACATTATTGCAGAAATTATATCAATATTACAAATCTTATTTTGTATTGCTAAAAAATGTAAATGCTGTGACATTTTAAACATAGGTCTTAAAAACATATCAGCTAAGCTCGCTAATTAAAAATAATCTGTTATAAATACATATATGTATTAAAAATAATATTAATTGATAATATATTTAGACTGGTGATATGTATAAGTGTGTTCAATAAATGAATAACGGGAACAAAACTGCACCTCCTATATCTGCAAATCATGCTTATATCAATAATAAATGTAGGGTTCCTACAATACACATATTAATGTGTCACATGTTCTTATATTCTTGATAAATTGTATTTCAGAAATTGAAGAGGCTAACATGAAAAGAAGGATACTACATGTACTAGCATAATTGCACTTGAATCGAACCACAAACCATGCAATTCTGAATCTGAGAGGGGGGAAGGAACATTCAGGGGTCAGAGATGACCGTAACTTCAATGGAAATTTATATAGAGATGACCATCGCTGATTGGTCAAATGGCACAGACTGACAAAAAATTGTGGATTCAAAATTTTGTAAAATTGCTTCAAATAATTGCCAGTTATAGCACATCAAAAAAATAAAGATGTAGGGAATGTCTAAAACAATTTCAACATCACATCTTTTGTGGTATTGGAAAACGAGACAGTGAAAATTTGGACATGCGAAGGTGATAAACAAGAGAGGTAATTATGAGGTCATCTCTAACCTCTGGGGTTTTCCCTCCTCTTACAAAGTCTTTAAAAACAACCCTATGTTGCCATTAAGTGATGCAATATACCAAATAAGTTCTTCTAATTACACGATTTCTATGACCCATGTTTGTATTTTCTTATAACCAATCTATTAATGTGACCACTAAAAACAATAAGCATTTCTTCGTAGCAGTCAATATGTGGTAGCTAAGTTCATACCAACGGCGCTTTAATGCGGAGTGCATAGCCGCTTTGCACGCCGCATTAAAGCGCCATCAAAGTGCCATTGGTGTGAACTTAGCTTAACAGATATATGTTTATTCATGATTTTTAAAGACCTTGTTCACTTTATTCATGATTCAATAATGGGTTCAACTCTCTGTTCATTCCAATTATCACCTAACCTATTTTCCATTCTCTATGAATATTACTCAATCTTCCTGTTTTTTGTTGTCATAGTAAGCATCACTTGTCAATGATCCTCTTTCACTATGTTCATCCTCCTTTTCACTGTGATCATAGGCCAACTCCTTTTTCACCTATTTTCATTTAGATTTTTTTATGAATATTGATAACTTTCTGTTTTTCTATGCGCAGTCTCTTCTTTTTTCACTGATTATCCTCCTTTTTACAATACAGTTTTCCTCCCTTATTAATTTATCCTAAATTCTGGTTTTCCTCCTTAATTATTTATAATTTTTTCCCCTTTTCACATTTTTTCCTGTCTTTCACTGTGATTGTCTTCCTCTTTTTCACATTGAGTATAATCCTCTTTTTTGATAACATTCCTGATTCTACTCCGACAATCTTTCTTTTTCATTATTATTGTCATCCTCTATTTTTTCTATTAATTTCCTCCTCTCCTCCAGGTTATTCATATATTCTATTAATTTTCTCCTCCTATCCTCCAGGTTATTCATATACATAGTTACTATCATAGATCCAGTCCTCATGTATCATACTTTCGGCAGACGATTTAGGTAGATACACGTTATGACTTGTTTTCTCCCCCCTACGTGCTTTACGTCCTGGGGGAAAAGGTATATGGACATAAACATGATCAACATCTGCATTACGATTCTTCAATTGTTGCTGTTTTAAGTTCAGGATTTTCTGATCTTTTATCTTGGTGATATTCTCCATCTTGTTACAATGCTTTTGTTCAAATTCTCTTTTTAGAGAGATTAATTTGTATTGAAGAATTCCTAATTGTGTTTGAGATTCATTTTGCAGTTGGCGATATTGTTCCGCATGCTCCATCTTCAGGCGACGAAGGTAGTTTGGATAGCAGGACGCAGAGTACGTAGACACACATTGAGTCCATAATCGTTGAATCTCAATTTGCTGTTGCCGAGATAAAATAGTACATCTTTGTTTATGAAGTGCATTCATTGCAGATGTTTTTCCGATTGAATCGATCTGTAGAATTTCTGCATCGATTTTATATTGCTTCTCTTCAATTTCTTTACACACTTTGTACTGCTTATATATGGCAGCTTCAGTGTCTAAGACATAGTTTTCACGCTTTTTCCTGATATCATTAGCACTCAGTATATTTGGTTTAGACTTTTTTGCAGCAGCCTCTCCTTCGAAAGATTCATCCATACCCCGCTTACGTTTTCTCTCAGTCCGGAACGTAGCGGCGATTCCTTCGGACTGTTCACCTTCGAGTACACTTTTTACTTCACCAGATGGTGTGGCTCCAGCACTCGATAGGCGTCGCCGTAGAAATGATGCACACGTGTAGTTAATTTCACTAGATGGAATACCAACAGAGTTCCATTTTTTCATAATTTCATTTACCTTTTCGTTGTTTTGATCTGAAAACATGATCACCTTTTCAGTCTTCTTCAAGGAGACCCCTGTAGTCTTTCTTGCTCTAATTATCCTCCTCTTAGTCTTTTCATTAGTTGTTGTATCCTTGTGTTCAGCTTGGGTTGGGATGTTAGTTGTTTGTTTAGGAGCATTTAATGCTTGTGTATTTGTGATATCTTTAATTGGGGTAGTTTTACCAGGGTGTTCCTCGATGTCTGTCTTTGTGTTACGTGGGGTTGCTCTTGTAGAAATGGATTCCATGTGTGCTGGTCTTATGGGGCTAGATGTTTTGAAATTCTTTGGGGGCGTATTATGATGACTTAGGATAGGGGATGTTCTTAAAAGGCAAATTTTCTTTTGTCCTCTAGCATCTGAAGGTGTGATATTCAATCTTTTCATACTTGATCCTACTGGCTGATTTTCTGAGGACTTTTGAGGTGTTGAATTTGAGCTTAGATTTAGCTCTCCGGATGACTTTGAACATTCCGATCTACCATCTTCATTTTCAGGCTGTGACTCAGAACATTCTGATGCACCATCCTTATTTTCAGGCTGTGACTCAGAACATTCTGACCCACCATCCTTATTTTCAGGCTGTGACTCAGAAGATGTAGAACATTCTGATCCACCATCCTTATTTTCAGGCTGTGACTCAGAACATTCTGACCCACCATCCTTATTTTCAGGCTGTGACTCAGAAGATGTAGAACATTCTGACCCACCATCCTTATTTTCAGGCTGTGACTCAGAACATTCTGACCCACCATCCTTATTTTCAGGCTGTGACTCAGAAGACATAGAACACTCTGACCCACCATCCTTATTTTCAGGCTGTGACTCAAAACATTCTGACCCACCATCCTTATTTTCATGCTGTGTCTTAGAAGACTTAGAACATTCTGACCCACCATCCATATTTTCAGAATGTGACTGACTTTTAGATTGTGACTGGCTTTTTAGTTGTGTCTGACTTTCAGAGTCTGGATGATTATCAGACTGTGACTGGCTTCCAGACTGTGACTGGCTTTCATATTGCGATTGGTCTTTGGATTGCATCTGGCTTTCAGATTGTGGATGGTTATCAGACTCTGGCTTGGTTTCAGACTGTAGCTGGCTTTCATATTGCAACTGGCTTTTGGGTTGTGACTGGCTTTCAGATTGTGATTGGCTTTTGGGTTGTGGCTGGCATTCAGATTGTGACTGGCTTTTGGGTTGTGGCTGGCTTTCAGATTGCAACTGGCCTTTTGGTTGTGATTGGCTTTCAGATTGTGACTGGGCTTTGTGTTGTAACTGGCTTTGAGACTGTAGCTGGCTTTTGTGGTTTTCAGACTGTGACTGAATTTCAGACTGTGATTGGGTTTTGGGTTGTGACTGACTTTCAGACTGTGACTGGCAATTGGGTTGTGACTGACTTTTAGATTCTGGTTGACTTGAATAAGGAACATTGCTTGATACACAAGCTGCTACTGACAGAGATATACTTCCTGATGACATTGATGTAGTGTTGGTTGAAGCCATCGAGTCCTGTAGAGAGTTTCCAAGTGATGGAGCAGAGGTTATTTTGGATGCTTGAATTCCATCAACTTTATCATTGTTTGTGATTCCTGGTTCATTATCCAGACTAATAATTTCTTCATCTTCAACTATTATCCTAACACAGTCTTGCTTTATGTTGTTTCGAGGCTCAGATGCTTTGAGTTTCTCATTTCCCGCATTATCATCTTCCCTTTTAAGTTTGTTAACAACATCTATAAGATTTTGATTATCATTTGTAGGTTTCTGCTGTAGGTTGATAGCTCTGTCTCCTTTATTGTCAATTTCCAATTTAACTTTATTGTCAATTTCCAGTTTAACTTCGCCATAAGTTTCTAATTTTACTTTTTTCGAAAGATTATTCATGAATTTTGTTGAATTAACTTCTGGATATATAACAGTCAATGAATCATCAAGGTCCCATACAAATTCACTATCATCATCTATAACAATGTCATCATCTGTAACGTTTTCCTTTTCAGAGATATGTCCATCAAGTACAATGTAATCAGTCTCTATAAAAGTATCATCATCTTCTATTGTTATTACCTCTGGTTCAGGATCTAAGGGTACATCCAAGACCATAACACTAGATTCAGAAACAGTGATTTGACTATTGTTCTGTTCTATCTTCACATGAGTGGCAGCTGAATCAATTTCAACTTGAGAACTTTCAGTTTTTACAGTTAAAGATTCATCTCCAACTTTCTCTAGTTTAACAGTCGAAGTCTTCTCTTGTTTTATTGCAGTATTTTTCTCTTGTTTGATGGTGTCTTTCTTCTTTTTGATACTGCTAGCAATGGCTTCATTTCGCTCAGTTTTTATTTCTTTCTTTATCGTTACTGGTTCTTTCTTTACACTCCTTTGCTTTGCAGCGATGACAGCACCTTGACAACATGGTGCCCCACCCTGTTGTTTGTATTGGGTCCCCTGATACTTCGAGAAATAAACATTTCTGCAGCTTGGACTGTGACGAGTTGGAACATTGCTTATCTTAGATGTAAATGATGTATTCTTGAATTTAGACTGAGCTTGGTCATTGCTTGCATGCTGATGATCGTCAATTTTCTCTTGTTCTTCCTTAATATTCATTGATTTTTCCTTCTTTATGTTGGTCATAGTTGGTGTATCCTTGTCCTTAGAGGTTGGTTCATTCTTTATCTTTGATGTGTTTTTCTTCTGCAGTTCATCATCAGATTCTGGTGCAACATACTCATCAAGTACAATCTGATCTTGTTCACTTGGGAAGTCATTGTATTGTGTCACTGGGTGAATAGAGTCATTCACTGTAGCATCAACATCAATTTTATCCTTATCACTTGTCTGTTCTGCTTCAGTATCCTCATTTACATATTCATCCACAACAACAAAGTCTTCCATGTGTACAGAATTTGCTGTTATAGTTTTATCCCCAGCATTTAATGTTTTCTCACATGTTTCTGCTCTGCCACCAGTGTTTTCAGTTAGTTTCTTTTCCTTATGCTTTGGTGTGTCAGACTTATCATCATTAATATGTGTTGAAGGGAGAAATGCTGACATTTCATGTTTATTTCTATCTTCTGGCCAGGAATGGCGACTTACATTTATGCCTTTGAAACGTCCATTTCCTTGTGTCTCATACTTACTTTCCTCAAGATTAGGAATATTGTTTGCTTCTTTCAAAAGGGACTCATCAAAAGGCTTATAAAGATATCCAGATTTTGCTGGCGTTGATGAAGTAAAAGAATGAAGAGGCACAGACACCTGTGAAGCAATAATGGGTGCTTCAAGAACACTTTCATCTTCCACATTAGTTTTCGAATCAATGTCCATCAAATTCACTTCAACATGGCTTGGATTATTTTTAGTGAGAGCTTGGTTTGAAGCCTTTGAAAGAGAATCATCGAAAGGCATGTAAAGCTCCCTGCACTTTGCAGGTGATGATGACGTGAATGAGAGAAATGGAGCAGACGCTTGCGATCCAATTATAGGTGGTTCAAGAATACTTTCATTTTCCAATCTGGTCATATCTATTATGCTTGGAACATTAATGGTGCTGAGTGATCCCCTAGACAGGGTGGCATCTATTTCATTAAGTGTAAGATCATATAGTGTAGGAGTCTCAGTATTTAGGGCAATGGAGGTCTTTTCATTCGTGGGTTTTGCAGCTGCTCTTTTAACTTCGGGAGATATAAAGAGGCTGTGGTCGTCATCAACTTCCCCTGTTTCATCCAAAACTAGATATTTGCTTGGAACATCATCAGTGATATCTATAATATCAATATTGGTGGAGTTTCCTTCAGTTTTCAAAAGACTTTGATCAATTTCAATGCTTCTTTGATTGTCATCATTTTTGATAATTGTGGAGGGTTTCTTTGCAGAAGTCAGTTTATTTGGCTTTTTCTCAGAAGCTGGTGTCTTTGGTTTGTTCTCTTGAGAAGCTTCAGAATTGTGTGTGTTAATTTCAATGATAGTGTTCATCAATTCATTGAATGTGTCATCAGTATCATCAATTTCATCCTCAGCTGGTACTTCTGAGACATCATCCTTTACATCAGTTACTTTTTCATCCTTATCATCAAGAACATGTAGAACAGTCTCATTACCTTTACTCTCATCGAAATCAAGGTTCTTCATCACTTCATCTTCATCTTCTTCCAAAATTGGCTCAATACGATGACAATATCTTGGTAAATATCCAGTTTTGGATTGGTCTTTATAAATGGGTGTTTCTGCTGCCGGTGTGCTGCTTATAAGTCTATGAGTGTCTTTAATGTAAGGAGTCTTTCTCCAAATGATTGTTGGGCTATCAGTGTATGGCTTAACTTGCTTTGATTTTACTTTAGGAGTTGCAAGTGAGGGCTTGAATGATGGATGTGTCAGTTTCGATAAAATGGATGGTTCAGATGTGATTGTTGACAATGGGGGATTTTTGTTATTAATTTCACTTGAAGGCTTGAAGTTAACATCAATATTGTTGTTTTTAAGATGTGTGTCAGGTTTCAAAATATGACTTGAATTAAATTCTAGAGTCTCTGTAGGAGTGCTTGCTGCAAATACTGTATTCAATTTTTTCTTTTTTCTTTCTCTCCTTCTTTCTCTTTTTCTTTTATTTTTTGAGCTTGCGGTTGTTTGTTTTTGGTTACTCTTTTGATTTGCGGTTGTTCTTTTTGTACTTTGTTGCTTACTCTTTTGATTTTGGGTTGTTTGTTTTTTGTTATTTTTCTTACTCTTTCGATTTATGGTTTTGAATTTTGTACTTAGGAGCTTGCTACGTACATTGGGTAAGTTACTTCTATAGTCTTGTGGCGACTTATAGAGAACAGCATGTTCTGAAGCAGTGAGACGACAACATGGTGCTCCATCATGTTTGTACTGCACTCCCTGATTATGCCAGACATATCTATTTTTGCAGTTGGGATTATGACACTTAGAAACAGTGATTATATTAGATGCCAATGCATCCTTCTTTGTATTTCCCTTCTTTTTCTTGGTATATCTTACATTATCATCTGATTTAGCACCATTGGAGTTAGGAGAAGGGTCTGATTTCGTTAATGGCTCCAGTTTCCATTTACATTTGAGGAGAGTGTTAAGTTGGTTTTTTCCTTCATTGTCTTTCAGTTTTGAATCACCTGTATGAGTTGGTTGTAATAGACCTCCAGATACAAAGCCAAAGTCTTTAGTAACCCAAAGTGGAGTTTTAATGACAGGTTTTGAACCTACTCTGGAACATTTGGCATGCTCGGTGAATAGGTTTGGAAAATATTTTTGGTTTTCACCCGAGTCTGCACCAGTGATTTTATTTGCACTAGTTGGTTTATTTGCACCAGTTGGTTTATCTGCACTATCAGTAGAAGTATTTTCATTAAAAAGACCTGCAAAATCTCTTTGTTTATCAGTTGAAATTGGCATGGAGTTTGCACCAGTAACTTTCTTTGCATCAGCAGATTTAATTGCAACCCTAGATTTACTTTCACTTATATGTTTCTTTGCACCAGTTTTATTTGCACCCGAAGATTTATACTCAGTCACTAGACTTACAAAATCTTTTCGCCTTTCACCTACAGAAATTGCCTCAGAATTTGCACCACTAAGTTTCTTTGCAGCAGTTGATTGACTCAATCTTGTAGATTCATAAACTTTGGGATCTGGCACAGTGTTTGCATCTGAAGGTTTATTTCCTCCTCCAGATTTGCTTCTTCCAGTAGATCTATTTTCACTTGAATGTCTATTTCTATCTCTAGATTTATTTTCACCTGTATGTTTACTGTCACCTGTATGCTTATTTTCACCTGTAGGCTTATTTTCACCTGTATGTTTACTGTCACCTGTATGTTTATTTTCACCTGTAGGCTTATTTTCACCCGAATGTTTACTTACACCTGTATGTTTGTTTTCAGCTGTACGCTTCAGTTCACCATTGACCCATTTAAATACTTTCTTATCAGGAACATTGTAGAGTTGTCTCCTTGTATTATCTTTGGCACTCATCTTTTCCTGAAATGGCCTCTTGATTTCCATAGGCTCACTGCAAATATATAGAATGCATACGATTTAAAGAGTTCAAAGACAATGATTATACGTGATTTTCAACTTCACAGAAATTAATGAATACAGGGGTTTCATTAGCAGCAGGCAATTTTCACTGGTTGTTTTCACAAATCTGTTGTTTTTAGGGACTTTTCTACTTTTCCATGTTAAATTCATTTAAATTTAGCTTATGTTTATGTTTAGTCTGTCAATTGTGCCAAACAAATTTACAAATAAAGAATCTTTAGGTGGCAAACAACCCACTAAATGACAGTGAAAATTTAGAAATATGTCAGAACAATTTTCTTATATGGCAATTGTACTTGTGTTTATCTTATGATCTGTAAAATGAAGCCCTCTGATTGGTCCATTCTTGTGCTGTACCAATCTGTATTGCTACTGAGGTTATCCTCGCTGATCATCTCTGTCGCAATACAGAAAATATTGTTACGGAGGGGACAATCTCAGTAGCAATACAGAGGATCACACGATAAAAATGTTACGGAATGATTTGAAGTGCAATACAGGATATATTCTGTCTCGATATTCTGTATTGGCACTCGACTTCGTCTCGTTCCAATACAAAATTTATCGAACAGAATATATCCTGTATTGCACTTCAAAGCATTCAATAACTTATAATATTGTGAAAAAAAGAAATATTTGAACTATATAAAAGCTGATTTCTCCAAAACATGGCAAAAAGTAGGAGCCAAAACTAATGGGCTTAAATGATGTTTGTATGGACCCTCATAAAATGAGCATTTGATGATGGAAAACAGACGAGAGGGTTTTCCTCAGAATCACCATGTATATTTTTGAGAATATGGGTCTGGCTAACACTAGCTGACGATGAGGGCCTTACAGAACAAGAAGGGAAAGAAAGTAAAGTGTTAAAAGCAGCCGTCAACAAGGCATTAACATGCAAAATGTCACCACCTGTCATTTGTTACCTACCACCTGCTGCCAAATGCTAAACACAGTTCACAAAAAAGTTGGAGACTATAAAACTTCTGTTGGTGACATAAAAACAAGTCAATATTTCCCTCATCATCCTATTTTTATTTTCTGAATAAAAGAATTAAGATAACTGACCTAATACATAAATTATTGGAAGTGAAGAAGATATAAATACAGTATTACAATTTGGTCAATTAGAAGCAAGTTGAAATATACCTTTTGACCTTGAGAGGGTCATTGAAGGTCAAATCTTAAGTCAGATTTGAACTTCTATTTATAAACTTGTAGATGATTTTGAAAAGAAATCAGTCAATTTGAAGCAAGTTGAAAAGACTCTTTGACCTTGAGAAGATCATTGAAGGTCAAACCTCAAATCAAAGTCAGATTTGAACTTCTGAGAGCTTGTAGATGATTTTGAAAAATTGAAGTCAGTCTAAACACATTCTGATACTCATAGCATCTTTCTGTTTCACCTGAAACATGCTCTGATATTATGAGGCATATTTTGTGATCTGAGCACATCAGATAGGAAGAGTTATAACTGTCAATAAGTGTGATAGATATCATGTAATCATTTTCCTAATGTCAATACATTACATAATAGGCATTGTATTTAACAGCAGATATTAGCACAGGCACGTGTACACAAGTTTAATGACCCCAATTAAATGAAATATGAGCTGGGATGAAAGATCTCAAAAATCCTCAATTTTGGGCTCTCCTGGATCGCCAAATCAAGCTCATTATATCATGGCATCTCAGGGCTGAGAAGAAATGAGATGTCATGGTATATCATGATGGTCTAAACAGTATTTGATAAGTTATTGGAAGTTGTAAGAATTTGTTACCTATGCAATTGTGTAAAATATACATTACCTATCTGACAGTGTGAGATCAATGGTTTCCTTGTAATCAGTACAGCTAAAATGCCTGTTCCTTGGATGGTCCCGATATTTCCTCCTCCTAATTTTCTCATCTTCTGTTGACCTTGACCTCTGATGTTCCCGGACCTTTTTAAAGTTCTTAAGCATATCAGTGTAGTCATCCCCTGTTGATAAACGAACTGGAGAATATGACCTTCCTGATGGGCGAGTTGGTGGTTTAACAGGACTGATATGTTTCGGTTTAGTCGATTTACCAATTGTCACAGCATAATTGGCATTCTGTGTTAGTTTCGTTGGAGCCGGCTTAATAAGGTTTGTCTTTTGAAGGATATTGTTCAATGATTGCCATGCTTGTATATTAGGCCGTCTGTTTTTGGAGATGTGATGCGATTGAGCTTTAGGTGAAGGGGGAAGTTCACCCTCTTCAAATGACTCCAAACCCTCCATCTGAACTGTAAATACAAACAAGAGATACTTTGTAATGGATAAGTGAATGAATAAATAGTATTGTGGGTACTGGGCTCACATGGTGTTGCTCAAAAGTGAATGATGGCTAAAATGGCAGAAAATAAAAAAAATGGATGTAATTTTTGCCGATTTGTTGTAACAAAATTATTTCATACAACTACTCTTTACAGTGACATGGCTTTTTACAACTGTACAATGCAGGACACCTGAAATTATTTGTAAAGCTAGGAAATGGGCCACAAGTGAATTTCGCAAGACAAAAATGGCGACCATTTTGAAAAAAGACAAGCTTTTGAACCAGGAGTCAATTGAATTACACAACCAATGCTTGAATTAAATTGGGGGGGGGGGGGATTCTATGTCTGATAATTTTGTGGTCTGATATGTCCTTGAGCTATTTATTTGGGGTTTATTTTTCTGACCTAAGAAAAAGTAAAACTTAAAGGGATTTAAATAGGCCTTTGCATAAAAAGGTTCTAGATTTTTGCCCTTAAATCTTCTGAATGAACAAAATTGGGGAAAAATGGGATATTTCACTTATGTTTTTGCATTTTTTGTTGTTTGTAGGCAAAGGTAAAACCTTTAAATTCTAGCAATCTGGCAAAAATTAATGAATTGGCCCAATATTAAGCAAAGGCAAAATGTAAGCAAATTTGGCATTTAGGCAAATTTGGCAAATCTAAGCAAATTTGGCAGAGATTAAGCGAATGGTGTTTTGAGAACCCGTAGTTTCCAATAGTAGAGATACATATCCCCTAAAAGTTGTTTTACATTTTGTATACTCTCATCCTCTCTAATCCTCTTGAAAATTCCATTATTTTTATATGGGAAATCATCACTTCAGCAAATCCATGATTAATTATTTTTGGACCAAGCCCTAACTGTAGCTGTGATTTTTGGGAAGAGACAAAAATTGGATAGCTCGCTAGAGATTGCATTTACAAGCCAAGGTGGTTTAGAATTGATAAAGATCAAAGTTCTAAAAAATCTAATTCAAATTTCCCGCCATATAAACTTGTGTTCATTAATTTGCATGTCATTGATGGTTGCAAGAACTTCCATGTATTAACATTTCAAATCAGGAATGTTTTAAATGCACATGCTATTCTGAATTCATAATAAATAAAGACCATTATCTCTTATATGCTGCCTTGTCAACCCTCATGCATTGAGCGTGATTGTCACGCCTAATGGAATTCACGCATCAATTTTGCGTGTATGATAAAATGTCACGCAAATCACGCATTATGTTGATATTTAAAACAATCTGCTTTTTATAAAGCTCTGATACGGTTAAAGAAACACCATAAAACGAATGCATTCCGTTCGGACTTTTCACATGATTTCTGTGTCAATCGGTTCGAAATATTTGTATATGTCACGCATTTGTTTCGTAATTGTTGTACCTCTTAGTCCTATTACCTATTACAAACCTCCATCGCTGCATTTACATTTTCAAACACCTGGTAGGTTTAAAATCTAAATAAACAGTAGATCTAGTTTCAATACGCCCCAAGTAGCCAAGTTGGGCCCGCATCTCTAGAGCTATTGATTCAATCAAGGCCTGTGTGACTAGATCTACAGTTTGGAACAAAATAAATGACAGGTGAATTTTCTATCACCATTTCCTAACCATGGTCGTCTGAAGGCCCATAGTTTCCAATATTGTCCAGATACATATCCCCTAAAATTTGTATATTTTACATTTTAAGTAATCTCATCCACTGATGTATGGCCTCTTGAAAATCCTCTTATTTTTAACATGGGAAATTCTCACTTGAGCAAATCAACCTGTCATTTATTTTGTTCCAAACTGTATATTATTCTAGTGTATAGAGGGAATATGGGATAAAAATAAACTACAGTATTATTATAAGCCTACATAGGCTTCTTACAGCATTACAGCGTCTAGGGTAAAGAAGAAGAATTCTTAGGTCCATTGGCTTTCAACTCTAATTGAAAGCCCATGTTAGGTCTAAGCACGGACCTCTGCCAGATTACCTCCTCTGTGTCTACACTAGGCTCAATAAATATACTCATGGACAAGACACGAGATCTTCGGAAAATTTATTTTTCCCTGATTTTGGAGTCAGTTTATCAATAAATATCACATGTCATACCTCAAACAATGCGTACTGTTATTAGCTTCGACTCCAATCACTAAAGCCACACATCCAAAAATGCGTCTGTTGATAAAAGCATAAAATAAGCGAGCGTATATTTAATGGAGTGCTTCGGCTCTCTCCGTTGTTCAAATGTTTATTCCTGAAGTCAAATGCCTTTTCTGAGAATGTGATGCCACTCCAGATGACGTCACGTTAGAGATTACTGAGAAGTCCCATGACATTTCTTTAAACTCCTGTAGAAACAATAACAATGGTTTGTTAGGCTACCCGATCCTTTACTTTCATCTGCTGTTTGTTGCGATGTGACGTAATTTGAAATAAATGTCCCGGGAAAAGTCGAATTATATAATACAGCGTCAATAATGAATATCATGCAACCATTCAAACTAATACATAAAGAAGAGATTACATCTAGTAAATATTGATCAATCAATGTCTGACAGATGGAAAAAATAAAGGTCAGTATGAGGGTCATATTTTTGGGTGGTCATTTTTTCAGTACTGTCAACCCCTAAAGATTTTCTCGCGGGACAGATTTTTTAGACCCAGTGCCCAAAATTCGCGGGATTTTGCGGGACATCTACTAAATTCGCGGGATTTCGCGGGACATTTAAGGGATTTGCGTGATTGCGCTGATAAGCCAAATTTTTTTTATCAAATTCGCGGGATTTCGCGGGACCATTCGAGGGACAAACACCCTAATTGCGCTATAGTTAACAGGTTTACCACCAAAAACTTGATAGAGGGACAGATTTTTTAGACAAAGTGCCCTAAATTTGCGGGATTTCGCGGGACATTCACCTAAATTTGCAGGATGTCCCGGGACATTCAAGGATTTGCGTGATTGGGACTAATGTAAAAGCGTGTAAAAGTACTTAAAGGGTGACGCATATCGTTTAGCAAATCGAACGCTCGTTTCTGGTGTTGCTCACCGAGTCACCGTTTAGTATAAAAGGCCCGATCCCGGAATAATACTCAAGGGTTCACAGGCTCGAGGTCGTTGTGTCAACACCTCTAACTGTTATATAGCATAAGTATATTATAGATCGTCACACATTTATAAAAGGGTGATTTTTATTTTGACAAATCAATTCCACATTTATGGGTGAAGTTTCAGGATCTTCTATTTGTGTATAATTAGGAAAAATTGACATCTAAATTTCCCCATAACGAAATAGCACACAGCTTGGCATATGAAATATCCTACAAATGAAACAAAGCAGTTCTAATACAAGGATTTATATTGGCTGTTGTACATATTCTTTGAACGCAATCACTCTATGGATAATGTTTTCAAAATCATTATAAACGGATTACTTTATCTCAAAGACAATTTAAACTGGATTTTACAGAACTCCCCTTATTTCTTAAAAAATGGACTGATCCAGGAGCCGCCATATTGTTTTTATACGGGAAGCTTATCGGAACCCTTTAAATCAAACTTCCAGATACTGATTAATCAAATACAATGCACCGTTGCATTGTAACTTAAATAAACGTCAACACAATTTCACAAAATACGTATAGGAATATTATTAAACTTTATTGTAATTTTTCAAAAGCAAAAACCATGCTTCAGGTGTGAGTACCGTAATCTAACACGAAATTCAAAAATTCGGAACAATACTTTGCACTTCTGGCGTCGTGAACAACTATGAAACGCTTACCCCCATAATGTTATATATTAAAATGTACCTATTCATGGCATTTTCTTTCAATTGAAAGCCCATGATATAGGGGTTCGATTATTCTACATCAAATTATAGGGAATGGGGTTACTTTTCTAGATAGGGTTTGTAGAAAAAAACGGGTACCGGGTAGTAAATCCTCCATGCTGGGTTCAAACTTGGTACCCGGTCGAAAAAACCGGGTACCCAAAAACGAAATATACGAATATACAACATAATTAGATCATTAGAAAACGTGTACGATTTGTTTTGAATTTACATGTATGTAACTTCCTTCAAAATTGAGCTAGAAGCTTCAAATAAAAAGCATTTTAAGGCTCTTTTCGTCCTCTATCATCATATTTCCATTGGTAATGAAAGGGGGAGGGGGGGATGCGATCGCACCCCCTCCTGGCTACGCCAATGACATTGTAAGACGATTTGAAAAACAAGACAAATCAATCTTACTCTATTTTCAATAGTTCGTTTGTTGGTACGTGAATTGTTTTGATTATGATTTAAATCTGTAAATAGCTATCGTTGCTTTAGCAGGGAGGTGACGTATTAATTTACATGATTTTGATTATTAATCATAATTTAAGTTATCCCAATTTTCGACAAAATGTCCACTGAATTGTAAATTGTTATGTCTTACAATGTCATAGGCGTAGCCAGGAGAAGGTGCGATCGCACCCCCCCCCCCCCATAACCGATGAAAATATGGCCATGACGATAGAGGAAGAAAAGAGCCTTAAATATACTTTTTATTTGAAGCTTCTAGCTCAATTTTGAAGGATGTTACATACATTTTTGTGAATTCAAAACAAATCTTACACGTTTTCTCATAATCTAATTATGTTATATATTCGTATTTTTCGTTTTTTGGGTACCCGTTTTTTGACCGGGTACCGGGTACCAAGTTTGAACCCAGCATGGAGGATTTACTACCCGGTATTTCTACAATGCACCCTTTCTAGATATCAGCGTCCATTTATTGTAACTCGCGTTTGCTAACATTTGCTCAGTTCTGAGATGAAGGCCACACGGATAGCAAAAAGCCCAACGTTAGAACTATTTTTGACCTACATCCATATTTTCGTAATTAAAATGAAAGTTGAACCCTTCCTCTTTATTTTGATACCAAACAACAGCATGCTAGGTACTTAAAATTAGGTAAACTTTACTCCTCAAAAGTGCAAAAACTTAGCTTCTTTTATAAGATAAGATAATCACAATATAGGGGATTGCAACAATTTCGGAAATTCGCGGAGGTCAAAAACCACATTTGCGGGACTTCGCGGGACATTGCGGGACACGCGAATTAGCCTAATTTTGATCAAATTCGCGGGATAATCCCGCCATTCGCGGGACACTTGACAGCTCTGTTTTTTGATGTACCACTTTTGGCTCGTGTCTTATCTTCCCATTTGTCCTTTGAGCCTACTACCAATAGGGGCTGGATCGGCACGTGTGCGGTGATCACCTACTTGACATGTATCAATATAACATGCCCATGTTACAACCCCATAGATAGGTGAACATATTTCGTGATGATTTCTGTAACATGCAGACAAATGTGGCTTTGGTAGGCTCGCACATGTGTAGAAAGCGCAACCAACATGTAAAATCACGCGTACATACGTAATGTACCCTGATCATGTTTTGGTGTAGCAAGCGTAGTTGGCGTAGGCCTAGGGTGAACCATGACAGTGTGTGAGTATACCTACAGACTCATGTTTCCGTGTAGCAAGCGTAGCTGGCGTAGTAAAACATACCATACTGTTTTTCTTCAAATAAATGCCCGTAGCAGACGTAGTAGTACATAAGGGCGACCCTACAGTGTGTATGTATACCTGTAGACTCATGTTTTGGTGTAGCAGGCGTAGTTGGCGAAGTCAACACAGTACATACTATGTAGTGGTCATTTTCAATAAAATATCCGTAGCAGACGTAGCTGTACCCAGGGTACACCATGGCAGTGTGTGAACCCTACAGTGTGTGTGTATACCTACAGACTCATGTTTTGGTGTAGCAGGCGTAGTTGGCGTAGTCAACAAAGTACATACTATGATGTGGTTATTTTCAATAAAATACTCGTAGCAGTATACATAGCTGTACCTGATCAGACGTAGCTGTAACCGGGGTACACCATGGCAATGTGTGTGTATACCTATAGACTCATGTTTAGGTGTAGCAAGCGTAGTTGGCGTAGTAAACATACTATACTGTTTTTGTTCAATTAAATACCCGTAGCAGACGTAGTTGTACATAGGGTGACCCTACAGTGTATATGTATACCTATAGACTCATGTTTTGGTGTAGCAGGCGTAGTTGGCGTAGTCAACACAGTACATACTATGAAGTGGTCATTTTCAGTAAAATACTCGTAGCAGACGTAGCTATACCCAGGGTACACCATGGCAGTGTGTGGTATACCTATAGACTCATGTTTGGGTGTAGCAAGCGTAGTTGGCGTATTAAACATACTATACTGATTTTGTTCAATTAAATACCCGTAGCAGACGTAGTTGTACATAAGGTGACCCTACAGAGTATATGTACACCTATAGACTCATGTTTTGGTGTATCAGGCGTAGTTGGCGTAGTCAACACAGTACATACTATGAAGTGGTCATTTTCAATAAAATACTCGTAGCAGACGTAGCTATACCCAGGGTACACCAGGGCAGTGTGTGTGTATACCTATAGACCAATGTTTTGGTGTAGCAAGCGTAGTTGGCGTAGTCAACATAATATCATGTGGTTATTTTCACTAAATTACCCGTAGCAGACGTAGCTATATCTAGGGTGGACCCTGCCAGTGTGTATGTATACCTATAGACCAATGATTTGGTGTAGCAAGCGTAGTTGGCGTAGTCAACATACTATCATGTGGTTATTTGCAATAAAATACCCGTAGCAGACGTAGCTATACCTAGGGTGGACCATGACAGTGTGTATGTATACCTGGAGACCAGTGTTTTGGTGTAGCAAGCGTAGTTGGCGTAGTCAACATACTATCATGTGGTTATTTTCGTAGCAGACGTAGCTATATCTAGGGTGGACCCTGCCAGTGTGTATGTATACCTATAGACCAATGATTTGGTGTAGCAAGCGTAGTTGGCGTAGTCAACATACTATCATGTGGTTATTTGCAATAAAATACCCGTAGCAGACGTAGCTATACCTAGGGTGGACCATGACAGTGTGTATGTATACCTGGAGACCAGTGTTTTGGTGTAGCAAGCGTAGTTGGCGTAGTCAACATACTATCATGTGGTTATTTTCAATAAAATACCCGTAGCAGACGTAGCTATACCTAGGGTGGACCATGACAGTGTGTATGTATACCTATAGACCAATGTTTTGGTGTAGCAAGCGTAGTTGGCGTAGTCAACATACTATCATGTGGTTATTTTCAATAAAATACCCGTAGCAGACGTAGCTATACCTAGGGTGGACCATGCCAGTGTGTATGTATACCTATAGACCAATGTTTTGGTGTAGCAAGCGTAGTTGGCGAAGTCAACATACTATGATGTGGTTATTTCCAATAAAATACCCGTAGCAGACGTAGCTATACCCACAGTGAACCATGGCAGTGTGTGTGTATACCTATACACTCATATTTTGGTGTAGCAAGCGTAGTTGGCGTAGTCAACACAGTACATACATAATGTGGTTAGTTTCAATAAAATACCCGTAGCAGACGTAGCTATACCCAGGGTGAACCATGGCACTGTGTGTGTATACCTATAGACTCATGTTTTGGTGTAGCAAGGGTAGTTGGCGTAGCCCGGAAGGTGAGATAGCTTAGAAATTACCAGTTCATCTCAACTTGATCTAGTGGATTATGATTAAGGCTATGGTCTTCCAACCCCATATTTGGTGGTTTAACCCCAAAAAGTAATAGATATGACTATATGTTATATAAAAAGAGATTTAAAAAACATTGGGGGCCAGAGATAAATAACTTTGCCACGACCGAGATTTAAACTGTAGGGCCCACCCTAGGTGTACCTACGTCTGCTACGGGTATTTTATTGAAAATAACCAGATCATAGTATGTTGACTACGCAAACTACGCTTGCTACACCAAAACAAGCATACACCCTGTAGGGTCCACACTAGGTATAACTACGTCTCCTACGGGTATTTTTTGAACATAACCACATGATAGTATGTTGACAACGCCAACTACGCTTGCTACACCAAAACATTGGTCTATAGGTATACATACACACTGTCATGCTCCACCCTAGGTATAGCTACGTCTGCTACGGGTATTTTATTGAAAATAACCACATGATAGTATGTTGACTACGCCAACTACGCTTGCTACACCAAAACATTGGTCTATAAGTATACATACACTCTGTCATGGTCCACCCTAGGTATAGCTACGTCTGCTACGGGTATTTTATTGAAAATAACCACATGATAGTATGTTGACTACGCCAACTACGCTTGCTACGCCAAAACATTGGTCTATAGGTATACATACACACTGTCATGGTCCACCCTAGGTATAGCTACGTCTGCTACGGGTATTTTATTGCAAATAACCACATGATAGTATGTTGACTACGCCAACTACGCTTGCTACACCAAAACATTGGTCTATAGGTATACATACACTGTCATGGTCCACCCTAGGTATAGCTACGTCTGCTACGGGTATTTTATTGCAAATAACCACATAATAGTGTGTTGACTACGCCAACTACGCTTGCTACACCAAAACATTGGTCTATAGGTATACATACACACTGTCATGGTCCACCCTAGGTATAGCTACGTCTGCTACGGGTATTTTATTGCAAATAACCACATGATAGTATGTTGACTACGCCAACTACGCTTGCTACACCAAAACATTGGTCTCTAGGTATACATACACACTGTCATGGTCCACCCTAGGTATAGCTACGTCTGCTACGGGTATTTTATTGCAAATGACCACATGATAGTATGTTGACTACGCCAACTACGCTTGCTACACCAAAACAGGGGTCTATAGGTATGCATGCACACTGTAGGGCCCACCCTAGGTATGTCTACGTCTGCTAGTATGTTTACTACGCCAACTACGCTTGCTACATCAAAACATAAGACTATAGGTATACATACTTACTGTAGGGTCCACCCTCGGTACATCTGTACATCTGCTACGGGTATTTTTATTGAAAATAACCACATCATAGTATGTTTACTACGCCTACTACGCTTGCTACATCAAAACATGAGTCTATAGGTATACATACACACCATAGGATCCACCGTATGTATATCTACGTCTGCTACGGGTATTTTATTGAACTAACTACATGATAGTATGTTGACTACGCCAACTACGCTTGCTACATCAAAACATGAGTCTATAGGTATACATACACACCATAGGATCCACCGTAGGCATACATACACACTGTTACCTTCATGTACAACATGTATTTTGATGAAATGACAACCTGTGCTCATGTTATATGGATGCATCTTCATCTGTGCATAGCACATTTAAATATCACTGTTTGTGAGAATGGCATGTGGGTTATACGGACATTTCAAATTTCCCGTGTGGGTGATACGAATGATACACTTGTATTTGCATTTTTTAAATTCCCGTGTAGGTGAGCATAGCACAAGAACCGCTGGATCTGGCTCCGGATCTGTGTTCAAAAACCCGGGTTCACAAAAAATGAGATGGCGGGTTTGAAATTGCGTTGAAATGCTAGAATAATGGGAGAAGAACTTATAACATTCGTTCACAATTGAATCACTTACCAAACGATAAGCTCAAGGCGAGCTGAATGAACAGAGTTATCCTTCTGTCGGTAGAAATGTATAAAGTATTTCTGACATATAATTTTCCGTTTTTTAAATTTAAAACTCTTCGTGGCGTGTCATTGGCCTAGTTTCAGCCTGACATCTATCGTCGAAAATTAATAAACCACGAAAATAATATTCAGAAATGGAAATAATCATGAAAATGAAAGATAATATGATATTTATACAACCCAAAACGAAGCAGATGTGACACAGTAAGCAAGGTAAGCATATTAGGTTCGATTTTCTCTCAAAAGTCTCCTTGAACAATTCGCAAAGGATGCTCAGGTTTTTGGAGGATTGTTTTTTTCTGATTTTTTTATTTTTCACTTTTCTGAAGTTTTCAACGCAAGAACCTGTATCAACACCTGACAGTGACATTTATTGGTGACCAAACCCCGGAAATATCACTTTATCTCTTAAAAAGGAGCTCCTCGATCAGACCGAAAATAGCTAGAGTCGGTACGTCTATTTCCAAACACCCCCATCAAAAAATGTAGTTAGCTTGGCTGTACTGCACATCTATGCTATGATTCTATATATATTATGTGTATTATCCACTGTAGAATGCATTTGCAGAAAAAATTACGAAAAATTGTAAAAAATATCTGGGTTATTCCATTTTTACTACAGTAGGGGACAAAAATAAAACTCAACGTTCACAAGTTGTCACAATGAGCTTATTTCCAAGTTTCGTGTCTCAAACTCTCCCAAGCGGTAGAAAAATAATTCCCGTTCACTAAAGTAGCACAATAAATGAATCCAAAGCTTCATACCTGCAAATAATGGATAAATTCCTACCAAATCGAATGAATGTTTTCATGAATCGCCATGTTTGTTTTCCAAGGACGGTTGACTCCCAGAATGCAACATCAGTTAACCGTATTTACTCATGACAGGTTTCAAAATGGCGGAACAGCATTTTGAAAGCTGGCACGTGTCATGTTGCATTCTGGGAGCCAATCCTCCGTTCCGGCGCAATCGGGCGACAAAATCACCTCAACATTTGAAGAGTCGGCATATCATGTGAATATCCAATTCAACTTTTGAAGTTCTTGTTTGTCATTAGGGACACAAATTCCACTATATTTGGACTTTCTAAGACAGAGAAAATAGAGCACTGAATACACTGAGGAAAGAATTTATTACATGTGCGACAGCATGTAATTTTCATAGCTTTTGCAATTCTTTATGATCCCCACTGTACAAGGTATTTTAGGGGGGTAATTCCGAACAGGAGTTTTTTTGGGGGGTAAATCCGAACACTTGCATGGGGGTAATTCCAAACACTTAACTTAAACTTAATTGTTTTAATTATTGGATTGATGGTATATCATTATATGATACCCTTAACTTATGATACTGGATCCTGTCACCCCTGCATATCAAGAAACCCAAATTTAAATCATTTATTACTGACATCTATTTATTTAAACGCACAGAGTTTGTGGGGGTAATTCCAAACACTAGCATGGGGGTAATTCCGAACACCTAAATCATCATAATTGATTATTTTATTGTAAGATTGTTGGTATACATCATTATATTGTATCTTTCAGGCTATAAATATTATGTAGAGGTACTATTATTCAATTCAATGATCTGCTTGCCATTATTTGGAACCCGTTAGTGTTTACCCCCCTGTTTGGATTTGGACGTATTGACTCTACCAACCCATTTTTAAAAGTTACAAAATTGTTATTTTTCTTTGCCTGTGAGCCGTCATATTTTCCCCGTTTGTTAAAAACATATCAAAAGACTAAAATTTAGCATAAAATTCGATTCACTGACGATTGATTATGATAATTTGATGACTGAAGTTGGTCGACTTTTCGTACGACTATATAACGGTTGTGGCTCAAAATTTTCAAAATTTCATTACTCACCTTTCGTTCGTTTATCGCTAGTTTCGGCACAAACAACAATCTGACAATTGCAGAGATACTTCATCCACTTCTTTGGAATGTATTTGCAACTGAATTTCCATGTTTTACTTCATTTGAACCGTGCAATTTGCAATGTTTTCGTATCTGGTGTTAGATTTAAAAATATATTCAATTAAACGAAAACGAGGCTGACCCCGAGGATGACCTATTTGGTTCGGAAGAAAAAGTTAAGTCAAGTCACAAAAGTACTCAGATCTCAATATATTCATATTTTAAAATTCTAATTGATCAAGCTTTATGATCGAGTTGTGTTTCAAGAAATAACTCATCATCCGGAGTGTGAAATATCCAATAGAAACTAGTGATATAGAGACGAAAACTGAGCACTAAATTGAATTTTTTTGACGGGTAACTTCGACAGCCTCGTTTTCGTTTATTGAAAATATTTTTAAATTTACCCCCAGATACAAAAACATTGCAGATTTATATTGTCAACCGAAGTAAAACATGGAAATTCAGTCGCAAATACATTCCAGAGACGATCTCTGCAATTTTCAGATTGTTGTTTGTGCCGAAAATAGCGATAAACGAACAAAAGGTGAGTAATGAAATTTTGAAAATTTTGAGCCACAACCATTATATAGTCGTACGAAAAGTTGACCAACTTCAGTCATCAAATTATCATTATTAATCGACAGTGAATTGAATTTTATGCTCATTTCAAGTCTTTGGATATGTTTTCAACAAACAGGAAAAACATGAAGGCTCACAGGCAAAGAAAAATAACAATTTTGTAACTTTTAAAAAAGGGTTCGTGATTTTCCAGTGATTGTTACTCTCCTTGTACATGTTGTATAAGAGATTTATTCCCAGGGTTCTGTCACCAATAGATGTCACTGTAACTGTCAGGTGTTGATACAGGTTCCTGTGAAAATTAGGTGCTTTCAAGATCGAGAGAAGGGTATGCAACTCTGTCTTATTAACATGAGAATTTCAAAATGAGCAGTGCCATCATGAGCTTTCAAGAGAGCCCTTAGTCAGCTTTTGCCAAGGGGGGGTGTCACTTGTTAAGGTCAGGGTGCATGTTCGGAATTTTACTGCAACCCTCAATAGAGTCACATGTTATTTTTTAAATTTGAATCACTCCTTCCCCACAATGTCTCCATCACTCACTTTTGCACAACGAGTGCACTAATGTACAAAGGGTGCATTTTCAAACTAAACAGAGTGCTCCTACCAAAATGAATTTGTCTACAGACTGAGACTCTTATCTAATTAGATAGAATATACAAATAAAACAAAAGTTTTGCTATTATAGGTGAAAAGTTCTCTTCAAAATTCGAAGTGATTTTACCTGTTAATTCTGTACTTGGTCCAACATGTCTTGGAGCCTTGGAGACACTCATTTTGGTAGGTAAATATGATTTACGGTGTATACTTTTCTGCAGTTTGTGGGAGTTTGGGACATTAAATGTTAAAATTCAAGAAAATATGCCAATTATACAACTTATCAATTATTTTGTATCAGGGCTTGAGCAAGCTATTGGTAGCACTTTCATATTCGCACCCAGAAAAAATGCAAGGTTTAAGATACAGATGGGAAATTTGTCTTATTAATTAGGTATATCCACTATATGTCTGAGGAAGATATCATTTTTTTGAAAGATGAATGATAATTTTTTTTATAAATTTTCATGTATCAAAATATGCCTTATTCTCTATGTAACAAATTCCCAAGAAAAAATCCACATTTACATATACTTCAAGCATGTACTTGAAGAGAGTAAGTTAAAGTAATTTGGCTGCATTGGAAAGATTAAGGAATTTGCTTTAAAATGATATGCAACAAGTGTGTCCATAACAGTGTATAGAGTTTTTATAACCGCTTGTAGCACACAACCGTTGGTGTAACATTTCATTGTAAATTTTATGTTAAAAAAGACTTTTTCAACATATTTTCCAATCTTTGCTAACTGTTTTTTTAAGATGATATCAAAAGTACTGAATGTCAAAACAGTACATTTACCAACAATATTAAAGAGAAACACACTGGAATATATTTTCTGATGAACTTTCACACATAAAATATCTTTACTGAAGTAACTAAGACTTAAACAGGAACTACAAAATTAAATGTGTCCTTTCCGAAGAGCAATCCAATCTCTGATTAGGAATGCTCCCGTATTGGATGTCTATAACTAACTTTTCTACTCATGTATAAAGGCATTAGCACAATGTTTACAAATATTACATTGAATCTTGATTTGTACAGTACTGTAAAACCCTTTAAAAAACTTGAGTGTAAAATTGCAAATGAAGAATGCCACAAATATAACATTGTATCTTCATCACTATTTTTCTTGTGATAAAAGGTTCAATTCACTGACAATAACCACCAACAATTGAGTCGTTTCTGTGCATAATGCTGTTTCATAGGCCTATGTATCCCTGGCCCAGTAGCTAAAAAACTATAAGTACATTCATGATAGCCTTAAAGTGATGACTTAAATGATGTTCTGCCCTATTATCGCCCATATATTTACCTATGAAAAATCGCAGATAATGTTGTAATCTGTGGTAAATCTTGAAAACATGAATACACGAATAGAAACAAATGTACAATCACCAAAAATTGCTCCCACAAATTCAATCTATTTAACAGTATTTGGCAATACACTTAAAAATGTCCTTTCCGAAGAGCTTTGGACAAGTGTAGTTTAGTCATATGGTACACATATATACTATCATGATTGTCTCATATATAAACAAACATTATTAAGGACTTTGTAATGATTCAGACAGAAGGAAAAATCAACAGGATATTCAACGTTATTAAGTATTATCATAATTGGAAAAATGATTGAACTTTTTTGCCAAAATCACATGCCAAGTGACGAGATTGGTCTTCCTATTTCATTTCTATGATAATGATTCAGATAAAAACTATTAGTTATTAAGAACCATATATGTGCATTAGGGCTGTGCCGGAACCGGTTCGGACGGTTCGGAATCGGAACCGGAACTTGGTCTCACGGAATCGGAACTTTCGGAACCCCTTTTGGTTCACAAATGAAAATAATTATGTATGAGTGAGTTCGACGGCGATCATGACGATATCGTCGTCCAAGTTTGTCAGGTTAACACTTACCTTTCCTGTCAAGCAAGTTTGAATGTTTTTACGAAAGAAATAGACTCTA